CCATTTTGAAAAAGCGAATGTACTGAAATATTGCAAACGTTTTAAGGTTACAGGAGAGGAAAGGGGAAAAATTAGTTGGTTTAAGGCCTTCCTAAAAGATTATGATATAATCTTAGAATTCTGCGGAATAAATGTTTTTTAAATTTTATAAAATATATTCCTGCATGTGTGTTTTATGAATCCGTGTTGAGTTTTTACCCTTAGCATCCAGATTTTTGAAAAAAACAATACATAACAATATTTTACATTTAATTTTGAAATTGCAAAAACCGAATGCTGTGAAATCATGCAAATATTTTAAAATTATTTGAAACATGCTAAATCGTTAATCACAATTTATTTGTCATCTTACATTTTTCCGGAATTTCTTCAAATTTGTGTGTGTTTTTGGGAAAAAAAATGGAGTATGAATTAATCAATTAGTCCTTTCCTCTGCGGTGAGGACACAAAATCAACCAAATTTCATTTTGTTTTAACCGATGATGCTTGTAATCCGAACGTGGTAATATTCCAATCCGGTCGAAGTATAAACATAAACAGTAGATGTTAAGAACCTTTGGCTCTTATGGTTTTGTATATATATTTGCAAAATGTAATCTCTATTATTTCTAACACACTTATTGTTACGAAATTTTAAATGTAACTTGTCCACAACTTTCACTATATAACTGCGGGGGCAGTTTTTTTAACAATTTAAATATTTTAAAAAATCAATATTTCAGTTATTATGGAAATTTTGGAACGGGGTTTTCACCACTGTTTTCACCTTGCAAAACTTTACAAATCGTACCAGGTCTATTTTTGACTTTATTTGTTGGGACTAAGATATAGTAAAAATAAAAGTTAGCAACTTCTACAACACATGCTTTTTTCTATTGTGTATAACAAAAAAAGTTGACAATATATCTAGTACGATTTCAGAAGTTTTGTAAGTTGAAAACAGTGTTGAAAACTATGTTCTGAAATTTCCTTTAATAATTGAGATATCGATCTTTAAAAATACCTACGTTATGCAAAAATTTCACTAAAATTAAAAGAAAAGTATGATCACAAATTGTTTTTTAACAAAATTGCCCTTCCATTATATAAAGAAAGTTATGGACAACATATATTTTAAATTTCAAAACTTAATGCAGGTAAACTTACCCTAATTCTTTCCAAAGTCTCCATCTATTATGCCCGACGTGTGCTGATTACAATTTGTGTTCTAAAATTAATTTTGTTGCTCATATAATGTGTGTAATACAAATAGATATATTACAATTATCCAAATTATGAATAGTTATTTATTTATCGATAAACTTCAATAGTTATCTTACACATTTCCAAAAGATTTCTTATTCTTTTTGTTTTCCTTGCGAATCTGATTCTAATAATTGTGTTAAAAATTCTTCTGATTTCTGTCGTAATGGACTGTTTTCCAACTACATATTTAGTGATCGAGTCGTCAACAACTCAGTAACCACAACACATTTCTTTATCCGTTCCTCCAATAACACCATTCTAGAAATTGACAGATGTAGAAAAAAGTTTTATACACTTTAATGGACGTCAACTCGTTCGCTCCGGCGCTTTAACTCCTCAACCATAACATATGTTCTTGTCACACGTATAACTCATGAGATAGATGCAACGCTGTCATATTTTCATTTCGTATTTTCATAGGTTTTCAACGTTCGTATTGCTTTGGAGCAGAATGTGTATCTGAACGTAGGTAGTCATATGTTCGTCACCGCTTGTTAAGTAGGGGAACGAGGGGCTTGTTGTAACAGTTTTTAGGAAAACGAATATAATTTGGTATCTATGTTTGACCATTATAAAAGTATCGATCGGTAGTCTAACTATTCCCCTATTGGACTGAACAGGCAAAAGGTCAAAATTGTTCATCTTCACTTCACACCAGGCATTTTCTTAAAAAAAGTGCATTGTTACAACTTGCCCCGTGGTTGGGGCTAGTTGTAACAGCCATGAGACAGGTAGTACCAGTAAAAATAAAGCTGATGTTGATACATATTTAGACTTTATTTTTCAAAAATCAACACAACACTTCATTATATACAATTTTTTTTCAGTAAAACTGAAAGAAACTTTTAGAAAAAGAGTCAACATTAAAAATTTGAGTGTTGTCTTCCTTTTTCTTAATATATCTGGAAAGCGATATATGGCATAGGTCAAAATTTTGGCTCGCTTTTCGTATGCTAGGTACGAGATTTGTAGAAGTGAATTTGGGATAAGTTGTAACATGTTACAACTTGCCCCAAAGCTATTGTTACAACATGCCCCGTAGCACAATTTTCTACATTTAATTACATTTCGACAAAATTATGTGGCTTAGCGTCAAAATGTGTAAGGAATATCAAAGCTGAGTAATTTTTGAGCTACATGCAAAACTAAAAGTTTTAAATTAATTAATAACTGATACGAAAAACCAAATTTTACTAAAGCAATATTTTACATTACATGGCCAAAACGAAACACGTGCACACATCCACTCACTGCGCTGGCTCAAGGAACAGTGGTTGTGATGACATGATGTCTTATGGTGCAAGAATTAAATTCAGTAAAATACCTGACGTTATAAAGAGTTTAAATTGTGGGTAAAAATTTAGTGTTACAACTTACCCCTGTTACAACAAGCCCCTAGTTCCCCTACCTACTGTTCTATAGATATTTATGTGTACCATTCACGCAACACAATTGGATTTATGAATTTTTGGAGATTTTGGTACAAGTGAAATCCGTTTTTACAACTAAGAACATGAATCTGTTTCTGGAAGTACAGTTTTTTTATAAGTAAGTAATTTCCATTTATTTATTTTTAAATACATAATAACCGATATGAGCCCATACACGGTGTTTGATGTGTGGACATTCTTTTTCTTTTCGGTGGTTGATAATGTAATTTTACCATAGGGGAGAATATAAAGTGATCTTTTGGACATGACTAAAAATATGTTTTTTTTAGACAAACCAAATTCTTCATGGTCTTCTTCTTATTGTCATGTCATTGAAACTTTCCGTCTGTGGTAGTGTAAGTACCACAGACTATATCACATATATTCAAAGCAGATAACCAACGCGAAAAATAGAAAGAAGTAAGATGGAGTGACAGTTCTACCAATTCCAAGCAAAATTTATTCATAACAACTGAGAGAGTACTTGTTGATCATGTTGTATATTATTAGTAGATGCTTAACTTCGATTTTTTATGTTTATACATAGAAAGAATTCGACTATTAAGCGCGTGCAGATGCTGGTTGCAGAACAAACGGCGACGGCAGATAAAAAGTGTGAATTTGTGTTAACAAACTGAAATTTGATTATTTTGTTTCCTGAAAACAGAGGAGAAGACTAATTATTATCAATTAAGATACAATGGAGCAAAGTGTTCTGAATATTATTTTGGTAAGTATAGCTATTATTAAGACAATTATTGAATATTTTATTAAATCTTGTATCAAATATTTAGGCACGCCACTGGGATCCGTTGTCGGAGAGATTTATTACTCTTGGTCTTTTAAGACTTTAAATTTTGAACTGCAATTATTCGTGACTCATACGAATATTTTTTTTTTGCTCTTGTTAATAATAATTAAAGAGATACTGTATAATGAATGCAGAGTTATTAGGACAGACGAGACACGAACTTGTTCGAACTTTTGAAAATAGTTGGTAAAATATGACTAATTAAATTAAATTCTTAGGTAAGAATTACACGCTCCGTTGGACGTTAAATACCTATCTATGAATTTATTTATGCTGATTAGTAAGTAGTAGGTACTTACTAGTAAAATTTGGACTAATTTTTAAAATTTGAAATTTCAAAAGGAACTGAAAACGTCTACATATTTAGTTAGAATTATAAAAATATTGTACCCGTGGGTATTATAAGTAACATAATCCTTGTTAAGTATTTCAATTTTTTTTAATTAGGACGTATATACGTAGGTCTGTTCAAGAATAGTTCACGTCTCATCTTCATTTGGAAACCATGGCTAAAAATAGATTGCTAAGGTAATATAATTTACAAAAAAGTAGATACCTAATTATGTGTATTAATTCAAATCTTTTAATCCAGTCTTATTATACTTAGATCATATTTTTAATGATTAAAAAAATACAAATTGCACATTTAAAATATACAGTAGTATGTACATACCACAAACAAAACAACCCGTCTTTTTCTTTTTGAATGATTTTTCATTGGCTACGGTCCTGTAACAGTGCTTATCCTTAAAAATTTCCAATACTTTTGTGAAGTTTTTTTTTTAATAAAACAATTAAATGCCCCGCTTCAGTATTATTTTCTCATATTAACTTTGAAACTTTGTACTTTAATAACATTAATAAAATTTCATTTAAAAATAAAATTTAAAACAAAAACTTTTTTTCCTATAAAACAATAGTAAATATTATTTAATATTATATAACAATACACAGTTGCATACATGCTCTAAACTCCTACATCAAACAAATTGCATGACAATGCTTTTCCACAATAAGCTTTACATCTCCACACGATAATGAGATAATGGTGGTTAATTATGTTCAAGTCATAATAACACTGTTGTGATATGCCTTACGGGGAGATTTAGAAGTAAGGCATAATATTTTTTATAAAACTAATATAGTAGTGAAACTTTAATAAAAAATCTGTCAAATATGGTTATGATCCACGTGTGACGATGATAAAATAAATGAAAAATGTATCAATGCAAAATATCAGGAACTATAGCAATGACAGTTTTCGAGCAACATTTTTTAAAGAGATACAAATACGCAACGAGCTTCAGCTTCAATAAAATCATCCTGTTTCTTTAAATAATATTTCTACCTATATTATTTTAAAATTCTTCTTCGCGCTTTTGTTATAGACTAGTGCTACGATAAAAAATAAATCTTGTAAATACTCTCTTGGTGTTCTCACATTTAAATCTATTCATATATCATTAAGTAATAAATTTATTGCAAGTTTATTTGAAGCTTTATTGAAAGCTTACCTGCGCTTTCAGTATTGCCGGGTGTCGTCGAGCGATCCCTGTCATTTTCGTCCTTTCTGACCAATCCGAGTATGTTATCGATGGTATGTCTAGGTCCTGTGCCTGGACTTGCGACCATCCTCATGGGTTTCACGTCCAAGCCGTAGTTAAGCATGGCTGAGGTGTCTTCACAACGGTCCGAATCCATCGCGCCACATTAACTGACTGAAGTTGGCTTCCACGCTTGGATACCTAGGGGCGGTTTTTGGAGGCGTGTTCAATATACAGGGGACCAATGAAATACTTTCGACATCCATCATGGAGTCCTGGAGGGTAGAGAGAGATGAAAGTTTGGATGCCCGCCAACAGTAATAGAGTCTGTGCTGTAAATTTCACAGTATAAAAGCTTGAAAATTGGTGTCAACAATCTGGATTAAGTTGTACATGTTGCTATTGCTACTCGTTTTTAAGTGGGGCTGCCAATAAGACATGTTATTGGTCTTGCCAGTTATTCCATTAATGGGAAACCAGCGGATTTGTGGTGTTGACTAGTCAACACTTGGGAATATCAAACCAATTTACCATTGCCTTAATCGTTAGATGTATACATAGTAATTATAGCAGGTATGTGAACGTGAGGAAGGCTGAAGTCTTGAAATGGTTAAGATAATTAAATGTAGTCTCATTACACTCAGTGATTTGCATTAGTTTTTTCGTAAACGTAAAGTGGATTAGCCATATATTGTGTTGATTCGAATCTCGATCCAAAACTGTTTTGGTTCAAAGTTTTTGGGTTAATTCTATTCGAGGTGTTTTAATTTTAAAAGACTACTTGATCTAGTTAAGTGTTGTCTTTATAATTTTTTCAAAGCTACCTAGAACACTTTTTCCCTGACAGACTGCAAAACTGAAAAATTTTTTGTACCTACATTTGTTTACACAAAAGCATTAATGACAATAAAAAAATTAAATTTACACATTTTATTATTCATTCATTAGATACATTGTTTAAAATTAGCCACAAAGAAACAGTAGGTACCTCTAGCCACAAGAACATAAACCATGAGATTGATTGAACCAGACAAGATTCTTCTATCGCTGGATTTCATGAAAAATTTTATCAAAACAATGAGCACAGAAGGGCGTGGATTTCAGTACCTTAGACATAAATGTCACAACATAACTGAGGCAAAATTAAAAGGTGAATATAGTGAACCAAGAGCTATAAGGTTATATGGCCATCATAAAATCATTCCATTGTGTCGAAGTTAAGTTGTTTACAATAGAAAAGGTTTTAGGGTCGTAAATAACGAGTCCACTACAGCTCGACCGGCTCTTGCGGTTTCGTTCAGGGGCGGCTTTCACTAAATATGAAAATCCACCACTCCACTATTTCTTTGCTACCTGCAGCCACTGAGGGTTCCGAAATAACCACTCTCTTTGAAAGCCGGCCCTGTTAAATATGAGCAAGAAATGTTTAGAAGATGATTTATTGCCAACCGGTAAGCTTAGTGCGAACCACACAAAGGGGGTATTTATTTGCGGTCAACTAATTTTATGATGGCCATATAACCTTATACCTCTTGGTTCACTATACCTATTTGTACATACACCCCTAGATTAATCTGCTATACCTACTGTCAGAAGCCGAATTTGAAGAGCTTCTATGCGATTAATAAGATTACAACTTGCTGATTTGAATGCTTTTAAGACAGTGACTCCAATCTTTTTGGGAAATAAAAAATTGCAAAACAAGTCATTTTCGGAAAATTTTTATTTTTTCAAAAATATATATGTATACCTACCTATATAGTGTTAGAAGTGACTTATTTTTGCTATTGTTTTTATAATTAGTCAAGGAAAATGAATACTACTGCACAGGCATTTAAGAAAAAAAAATCAAAATTTGTTGTACTACTTATTAATCAAACCACTAAAAGGAGATTATAAGTAGGTACTTCCATTTACGACTGCATACAATTGTACTTAAATGAGATACAAATTTGAAAATTTAAATTACAAATGATAATTAGATTTAGCTGTCATTTACGGTCGCTCTACACCTACCTAACTGTCAAAAGCAAGTAGGTAATTCTTGGATTATTAAAAATAATGAAATTTATAATTTTCTATTCATTCTCATTTATATACCTAACAATTTGTACTTAGTTGTTTGTTGCTTGTTTGAATATCGCCAACTTTTGAAATTTTTATGATAGACTGCAAAATTTTTACAATCTTAATAACAAAAAAAAAAAAAAAAATCAAATAGTTCTTACCTACTTTCTTTTTTGTTGTACATTTGACCTAGCAAGATATAATGTTGCTATATAGAACAGTTTTTCTTTAGTTTCTGTATTTGACACTGTACAAAATTTATAACTTTTTCGCCACTGCTGAAAAATTACCTTTGTTGTATCTATTTTCGTTAGCATCCGAAGGAATTATTTTTTTAAGACAAGAAATTAAGCTAAATTCTGAATTAACTTATCCAATAAATTTATGGACAAAAGTTTAAAATGGCAAAAAAATTCCTCTTTCGTTAAAGGGAAGCTCATGCTAGTTTTAAAAATTCTGCCATCAAAAAAAAGGCCAATAACTTGTAACATAAAATTTGGAGGAACTTCCAATCTATCAACTTTTGTAGTTTTTAGGCCTGTATAAGGTGATCAGGTTTTCTTATTTATTTTCTAAACTTCAAAACAAATTAAAAAAAATTACCTAATACAAGTTGATGAACCTTAAATTATTTTATTGTTTGTAGTAGGAAAGACTGATATATGGTGTGCCTTGCAGTTATAATATCATGAATAAAGCTTAATACGGAATTACTTGTTATTCCTCATCTTATACCTTTAATACCTTAATACCTTAATACCTTACTTACCCGCACTGGAGGGTAAGATGACGAAAGTGTTAACTGTTAAAGAAAGCTCATATTTCGGAACTTTTTAGCGTTATATTAGTGGGAAATTCAGGAATTAAAAATTAAACTGCTGCGATGCTTCAGGTAAATTTTGATTGCACTTTGCTGAATATCTTAAAGAAAAAAAATATAATATCTTTACCTTGGCCAACTTACCCACCTTTCCCCTACGTTGGACGACGAAATTCTAAAAATCAACATTTTTAAAATCTTGTCCTCAATACGTTGATTGTGGAAGTAGTTTTGGTTAATTAAAAAAAAGATCCATACTTTTGGCATTTACAATACCTATAGAGCTTATTTACTTGTAATTTTGACTGAAACCTATTAAATGGTAATTATTTTGATAGAAAAAAGGTTACCGTTTTATTCAGTAATAATTTTTAGATGATTATACGACCATAATATTTTGCAGTTAAGTTATATTAAAAAAAACAATAAAAAATCTCTCTAATCAAAAAGCCAATTGCTATCAAACAATTTGGTCGAAGGTTTATTAGATAGACTTTCCACTGCAAAATTTTTTGATGAGGTCGTCAACATTTTATAAAACACGTATATCAGTTTATATAGGTGCAGTATACCCAATCCTACTAACAATACCTAAAAATACTGTTCTCCCAAAATTATCTGGAAAATGGGATGAACTTGTCTTGACTTAATCAATAAAATAATTTGCCTCACTGATTAATTTTTTCAATCACCCTGTATACGCAATTACAAAAAGTATGAATGTATTGATAAATCACAAGTCTACACAGACTCACAATATTTTGCAATTTTAGACAGGATTTATTTGGCAAAATTTTTACAAGACGTCATCAATTCTTTGGAGGTGGATAAACCGACAAGCGATTTTCTATTCTTACGATAACCTTCAACGTTTGCAAGCTTTCATAGCATTCAGTTTTGCAGTTTCAATCTTAAATTGTAAAATGTGGTAATACAGTTTGATTTTTTTTAATCTGGATGTTTACGGAAACAAATCAAAACGGATTCATAAACCACAACTGTAGGTGTAGGTATATTGTTTTATAAAATTTAAACATTTACTACCACATTGTTGGTGGAATTGATTAGATAAATTTTAGTTAACATTATTCCTAAAATGTTTATAAAATTTCGCAAGAATCGGCCCACTAGTTTCACAGATTTATCTGTCCAATAAACATCGACACACGCGACAGATGACTGATAGACAGAGGGAAACAGGCCTATGACCATGTCTAGAGGTCATGAAACGTCAAGAAAACAAAAGTAGCCATTCACCTGATGGACGTTATTGAATACATACACATAAGCGAATGTATAGTAGTATATGTATAGTAAGAATTAATTTTGCATATATTTTTTACAAGTTAAAACTCCCTAACTCTATACCTGAAAAACGATAGATTAGAGGCCCTTAGGAGACATTTAGAGGCGGTAAACGATGAACGGGGGTGGATTTTCTTTGTTTGGCAATGAATTTAACTGAAGTGTTTTTTAAGTATACAGTAGCAGAATATTTTATGAACTTGAATTATACTCGTAGGTCGGTATGTAGATGATTTTCAACATTATGAAATTATTTTCAGTGTGTAGCCGAATGAATCTCTGTCGAACAATGTTCTTTTTATACACAAACCCTGAAATTTACATATTTAGATTCCACGAAGTTTTAAATGTTACCCTTTTATTGGTAAAATTCGTTAAAATTTCAATGAAAATCAGTACCAGTTGACAATAATTAGAAGTGAGTTTTAAAAAACTATAAACATTATTGAAAATTGAGACGATATTATTTTTCATTACAATTTTTTCAATTAAATTATGTTAAATTATGACTAAATTAGCCAAAGTAATGTATAGGTAGTCAAACAAAACATGTTTTCTGTCAAGTAAGCACATGTGAAAATTACTGTAATTTTCCTTGAATTTTTGAAAAAGTCTTTATTTTAATAGTTTTAAAAATTGTTTATATACGAACATGAATCACATAGATCTACTTATTCTACTTAACACCAATTTAAGAAGACGAGTTGATAGGACTAGGTCACTAATTTTTTCACTTTTGAATTAAACATCATTAATAATTCTTCTTACTGCGTTTACCATTTTTAGCAGTTCAGTTCAAAGTACTTCTTCTTCTTTTACAGTCATCACGTATTGAGTAATATACCTATTACTCCTATTGAATAAGCACAAAAGTGAGATTTAATCCAATAGATTGAAGGAATTTTCAGTATATAGTAGGTATTTTAACTAATGTTTTAACAACTCATGAAAACTGATGATTTATG